AGATCAAAAAATGTTTTGCAGCATTAGAAAACTTTTCAACCATCAAGAAAACCATTTTGTGGAATTGCATTCTTGACTTGCTTCCGGAATCCCGCCAGTACGTGCGGAAAAGCATATTGTCTGTCCACCAGAACACGCCAATATGTTGGGCAAATCATTCTGGCCGCTCTCCAGACTTTTCCTGAATCCCGCCAGCAAGTGTATGAAAGAAAATAGGCTCCGTGCTCCCGAAAGGTGCCCGAACTCCAGAACTTGGAGGGGGATAGCATTTTGGCCGTGGTCCTCCTGGTGGTCTCCCGCTGGTCTCTGTGTGGGTCTCCTGCTGCCTGCTGGAGTTTTTTGGGGGTAGGGGAGGGGGAGGAGGGGGAGGGGGGGGAGGGGTTCGAGCATCATGCGCAAACAGAATGCCTGCGCGATGGGCTTTCAAAGGGTTCATAGGGGTTTGCAGCAACTCCTCTTCATGTTGTACCCCTGGCAGCATCACAGCAGAGAGCTCCCTTCTTTTTGGCACTCCCTGCTGACTGTTCTGCTGTGCATCCGCATCGCTGGCGGGACAAGTGGCATTTGCCACATCCTCCGGGAGGGAGGGCGGGTTCAAGAAAACTGCAGCAAGGGATAAAACATGCACTCGACATGTTGTACCCCTGGCAGCTTCACAGCAGAGAGCTCCCTTCTTTTTNNCTGTTCTGCTGTGCATCCGCATCGCTTGCGGGACAATTGGCATTTGCCACATCCTCCGCCACCAACCTCGGCCACGGCGTAAAGAAGCTGCATCAGCTTTTGCACGAAGTGCGCCGGGCTGACCGCTTCATCCTCGCAGAAGAAACGGCAAAGGGTCAGCAGCAGCTTTGATGTTTTCTCTCACCTCAACAGGCAGCGAAGGAACGATCGATGACGCCGCCGTCTCCTGGAGATAATGCGTAAGCGTCGTCTGATGAACCAGCCGCATTCTCCATAAAAGATCCGAAGTTGGCAGTCCTTGGCAGTGCGCATAGAGCGCACCGCCGCCTCTGAGGCTGCCCGGCGTCAAACGAAAGCGTTTTGAAATCCCGAGTCGCTCAAGCAGGAGATCCCAGCGTCTGCGGTACATAGCCGGGGAGCCACCGTAGACCAGAGAGCTCCTCGAGAGAGCTCCAAGCACGGAGCTAATGTACTGACAGAAAAGCTCGTCGGAATGAACGGTCGCATGCTGAATGCGGGCGCCTCGCCTGCGAGATTTCGGCTTTCGGATTTGCAGAAGGATCTTAAAGCTCTCCTCTAAAATGTCAGAGGGCAGAAAAAGGTCCGACCGCCTAGCATTCAGTACCTCACCAACTCTGCAGACGCCGAAGAAAGCGAGGGCTGTAGCTGAAGCCCAGCGGTGCCAGCGATAAGTTATCGCGAGCCCGATCATCGCCTTGATGATCGGCAGAGGCAGGGGAGGGCGATGGCTCACCGGTTCCAAAGTTTCCCACTTGGTCACAGCTTCCCACGCCGGCCTGAGAAAAGGTCTGACGCTCGCGTAAGACTTTTGGACGTGGGCCAACAGCTGACGATAGTAATGCAGAGAGGCACCTGCATCGTACATAACTTCAGCGTAGGCAGTCAGTAGCGAGGCCGGCACAGCGAAGGCAGCCTGTACATCCTCTTCTGTAAGAGCTGTAGCGAGATACTCAAGAAAAGCATTCCAGTGCTTTTCACACAAACGGATCGTTTCGGGCTCAAGGAGCTGGACAGCTCCAAGGGCTCCGGGGACCCCGTTGCGCAAGGAGCAGCGTGGTCCTGGGTGGCCGGCTTCCCCAATCCGAGCTCCGCAGCACTTAGCACAGGCGGGAACGTCCAGCTTTCTGTACTCTCCCAGTAGTCCTGCGTCACTTGAAACAGCGGTGCCCAGAAAAGTGCAGAGCTTCGACGGGTAGGGTTCCGCAAGCTTAGTCCAGCTGACGCGAGCGCGGCATCGGCCACGCAGAAGTACATGCTTTCGCTGACAGGCGCATCGCAGCTTGCAGCCTCGCAGGGAGGAGTTTGTACGGAACCGGGTGGCCTTCCTCCAGGGAGTTCCCCAAACGCAGAAGTCAGTCACGAAGTCGCCTGAACTTGGTCCGAGATCCAGCTTCGCCCACCCTGGCTGAAACCAGAATCTCGAAGTCTCGGAGTTCTCGACGAAGTAGAGCAAGTCCTCCGCAACGCAAATTTCCAGCAAGTCGAAGCAGAGCTGAAGGAAATCGTTGCCCCGCTGAAGTTTCCGGCGTTGCTCGCAGGAGGCCGTAGGCAATCCTTCAGGGTGTTCGGCAGTGCGCCAGTGAGGCGTCAGCGTGCTCGAAAAGGATGAACAAACTGGCCCCGCCCACAGCCCACGGACCTGGCCGCTCTGCAGAACGTCCTTAACCTGTTGTTGTACTCCCGGCTCCAGCAGGTCCTCTGCGCTGCTATGCGCAACATCGAAGCAAAGGATCCACCATGGCGGCACGACTAAGGCCCTTGGGGAAACCCCTGGAACCCGAAAACAAGTCAACCCACCCGGAGCCTCGAGAGACGGCATCTTGAAGGGAGGAGAAGACCTCGGAGAAAGCAAACTGGCTCGGTGAGAGGCCTCGGAAGGAACGGGGAAGTCCAACAAGGTCAGCGAAGTCAGCCGGGCGAAGAACGGAAGGAACAGATCTCCCAGCGCAGGAGTACTTGGGAGCACCAGTCTCGAATCCAGTCTCTTGGCCCGACGGGAAAGAAGCAGACGGAGAGCTCGCGAGGCATTGCAGGCCGAAGGTCGCCCTGAGAAGGGGGAGCCGCAAGCTGGCCGTCGAAATCAACACCTCCAGCCTGGGGAATCCTGAAGCCGAGGTGCCTGAGCCACGCTGCATCCTCTGGGGAGAGCCTTTCAACCTGACGGATGCAACGCGCAACCAACACCACACGGCGGCCTGATCAGCCTTCAGTAAAATGAAGCGTGCAGGGGTCGAAGAGAACTGGAGCACGTTGGGGATCACAGTATTCGCCCCAAAGCTCGGACCCTTTGTAGCGCAAGGGAGACACTCCTTCAGCCGTCTGCACCCAGATGCGGCCTCCTTTGAAGCGGCTCAGCGCGTACACGAAGTTAACCGATTCGGCTGAGTTGTGGCTGTCCCGATGGGGAAGGGTCTGGTTGTTCTCGAAGATCGACACCGTACTGAGGTAAAGCGAAGGGCACAGCTGGCCAACAAAGCGTGCTAAGATCTGCACGCTCACGGGCAAAAGCTTTGTCGTGGACATCAGACCGCAGACTCCTCCGTGAGCAAACGCCCCAGCCTGGAAGGTCCGGGCCAGGCAGTGGTTGATGCTCGGCAGAACCCTAAACCTAAACAAATCCAGGAGGTCAAAGCGGCTCAAGTATCGGCAGGATAGGAGAGCCCCGGCTCGGGCCTCAGCAGGGCTCGAGGCTCGGTCAAGACGCTTTGCTCTCCTGGGCGCGGATTCAGTCGGTGCGTCAGGGGCTAGCTCACGAGGGTCAGGGAGGTTTCTGAGTTGCTCCGGGTGCAGCCCTTCTTCAGCGAGAAAAGCATCAAAACGCTCCCTCAAAGGGCTTCCGGCAACCAAGCAGGCTGAGGAATCGAGGGGCATCGGATGGGCCGCTGTCGGGTAGGGTCATCCGAGGGGCTCGAGGCGCTAGTGACGTAACCGAAGAAAGGCCTAATCCTAGAACCCAGGTAATCCGGAAGGGAGCGAACGAGTTCGAAGTTCAGGGCCCTGGATGAAGCCCTCCCCTTGACCAACGCTCCCAGGGCGACCTGCGAGTCGAGCAGCTGAAGGTAACGAGTACTCGGATGCAATCGCCCAACCTTGGCCTCTGCCTTAAGAGCGGCTCGCAACTCGCCTATGTTGATGTGGCGGGAGCCCTTAACAGTCTGGGTCGGCCCAAAGGCGTCGAACTCAAGAGCTTGACAAAGTTGTTCCCACAGCGGGTTAGGCGGAAAGGTCGCCCCTGGCATTTCTTCCTCGGTGGGGAGCTCGCCATGGCTGCGCATCAGGGCGCGAAGTGGAGACAACAACCTAACCCATAACCCTTCTGGAGAGAATGTCGTGTAAGCTCCCGACTGGGAACTTCGGGCAAAGGCGCGGCAACTGCGGCCTCGGCATGCTGAGAGCGTCTGATGCAATGAGGAGGGGAGCTCCTGGAGCCCGGCAGTCAACGTCACTCTGCGAAAGGAGAACGGCTGCACATAACAACTCCGCTCTCAAGTCCTGACTCATACGCCAGACCTCACGAGCAGCGCGTCCCCTAGCCTCGGAGTATACACGCTGCAAAATGGAGAGACAGCGTCGGCGCAGCTGAAAAACAGACACAAGAGAGCTGCTGAGGGCTTCAAGAAGCTCGGGAGTGGCTAGGCCTACCGAGGCGGCTTGCAGCACGAGGAAGCCGAGCGGGATAGTGCGTCGCAGGGCAGGCCAAACCAACCCGTGCTGGCCGTCAACGGTGCCGCAATGGCTTTCTTGGGATGCCTGGGAAGCCCTGACGTCGAGTAGGCTTGCTGGACCTCGGCAATGGTTCGAGATCCGGCACTTTGAGAAAGTTCGCCTTCGGGGAGTGAAGCCTTGACCTCAGCTCCGCTGTCGGGGTCACCTAGCCTCTCCTCGGCAGCTCCTCCTTCAAGCCTCTTCACACGATCAAAGAGAGCAAAGTCATCGATGAGGAGCCCGGGGTGCTCGGTGCTTTGCAAAGGACGCCAATGGGCTGAGGCTCCAACAACATTTCCGATGCGAGCAGCCAGGATCCCCCTTCGATCGCTGCTTGATCGCTGGCGGCTAGGAGGAGCCCTAGTCGCGCTTGGGCTTCCAGAGAGAGGGCGACCTGCGCGAAGGCAGTCCAAAGCCCCCGCTACCTGCCAATTCCACCTTACCGGCCCTGGCATCGCGGACAGGTGCGATCGATGCTCGAGCCACGACCGAGCGCTGGCTTGGGATGCTTGGGCACCAGTTGCAGACTCGACGCTTGAGAAGTCCTCGCTCAGGAGCTGTTCGAAGGAGTCGATGAGCACCTGAGGGTCGTCCCGAAGGGTTTTGCAGGGCTTCAAGTAGGCTGCGGCTTTGCTTTTGCCTCCTGATGCGGCCGGCACGCTCGACTCCAAAGCCGCTCCCTCGGTCAGGAGCTCGTCCAGATCGGACTTCTTGGCAGCATGCATCTTTGCCAAGATCTTGCTCATCTGAACTACGGCCTTCCCCACCGGGTCGGTTGGCATTGGCTCTTCGCTTCCTTGCGCAAGCTCCTCCCCTTTGTCGGACTCCTCGCTTTCGGAGAGGGGCCCAGCTCGCTGCTTGGTTTTGCCATCGGTCAGAGCAGTCGGCTTGGCCGCCAAGGCTCCCATGCGCCGAAGCTGTGCATCGCCTATGCCTGCAGCCCTGGCGGCCGTGACAACAGAAGGCTCTAGGCCCGGGATAACCGCAACACCCGACTGGGGCTCGTAGGATCTCTTTTGCTTCAAGGCAGAGGGCCGAACGGGCAATTGGCCCGAGGGCTCGGCGGCGGCGGGCTTCGCGGCCCCGCTGGAAGTCACATGATGCAGAACGGAGTCTAGGCCCACTTGGAGCTGGCGCATTGCAGATTCCAAAGAATTGACCCTGGTCGACAGCTCTGCGTCTGGCGGGGCTTCGAGTCCAGGAGCTTCGGAGGTCAGGCCTTCCTGAGCCGAGCAAAAAGCAAAATGGTCCCCTGCAATGGCCAGCAGCGAGGGCCCAAACGGCAGGCCTTCCTGGTCTGAACCCTGAATCTGGAACCCACGTTCTGCCCCTTCGTTTTCCTCTCCGAACAGACAACATGCTTCGAGCGCGGAGTCGAGGAGGCCTATCCAAACACTGACCTTAAAATGGGGGGTGGGCTTCGGCACGATTCTCGGGATTGGCAGCAAGGACCTCGGCCGCAACAGCTTTTGACAATGCGGAACGAGGCAAGTACCGCCGGGCCGGATGTCTGTGCCAGACACTGTGCGGCACGGCAACAACAATCCGACCCCCAAAGGTAGCAACGCCAATTAAGTTACACGATACAGAGGAACCTGCTTTGGGCTCCTGCGAAAAGGCCCCCACAAGGGAGGCTGCAAAATCAGAGGATTGGCTGAGGAGGCACTCACGCAAAACCGGGCGGTGAGCCTCGTCCTCAGCAGGCTCGCCGGAGCCAGGAGCGAAGTCGGCGTCGAGGGAATCAAGCGCTGCCGCTTGCTCCATCAACGAAAACGGAGGCCCCACCGTCCGGACCCCTTTTGCAGAGCTTCCTGACAGGATCGAACCTCGTGAAGATGGCCGGCTCAGGCAGCCTTGTCCCGTGATAATCAACTAGAACTATATAGTATCTTGACGGCAACGACAGGCGATCTCGGCCGGACGTGCCCCTGTTCTCGCCCCGCAAAGCCCTTGCCAAAAACTGTCCAACCTCCGTGGCCACACTCTGCCGGAAAGGCCCTTCGGGCGGCCCAGATCTGTCCGCAGCCTCGCTGCGCGTTGCAGATCCGCTCGGAGAGCCACGTGACCCTAAAGGCAAGCTTGCAGGGGCTCGAGGAGGAGGAGTGAATGCTCTTGGCGGGTTCTCACTCACAGACTGGATCACCTCAAAGGCACTACTTTCCAAAACCCGCACCCTATCCTCCAGGACCTCAACCAGAGCTCTCAAGGCCCGAACCTCAGTCTTCAGAGCTAGGACCTCCCTATCACTCATGCAAGGAGCCGGTAAAGGCTGGAATGCGAAAGCACCTCCCCTTCCCGAGTCAAGACTCGCCGCAAAAGAAGTCGAGTCAGGCAGAGCAGCTCAAGGACGGGCCAAAGAAGCAGCCCAAGAATCAGTCCAAGCAACAGTGAAGGAGGATGAAGCGCAAACCCCCTAGCCGAGGCTTCCGCAGAATCAAAAGGAGGCAGAGCACCCAAGTCGGGGTCAGGTGGCGCGAGGAGCGCAGGGTTTGCCGCCTCTCGGAGAACGGAAAAGAGGACCCCAGCAAGACCACCCGAAGACCCCGCTACGGCTAGGGGCAGACCTCGCATTCAAGAAACCTGCAGCAAGGGATAAAACATGCATTCGACATGTTCTTGTTAGTAGCAGGATGTTCTTTAGAACAGGCTTGCACGGTCTAGGCCCAGGATTTGAAAGAGTTCATACGGGTCTGCAGCATTACTTCAATCGGTGTTTCTTTCCTTCTGATCATCTGCTTTCTTTGTTCCTGATTTCTGTCTTTATGCCTTTCTTTCTTTCGTTTATGCAGTCGTTCTGGAAAAGCCCTTTATTTTGCCAGATTCGTCCTGCCGCTATCTACTTTGCCCATAAAACTCGATTGTTTTAGGATGGCTTGGAAAGTATCTTTTTGGATTCCCCCAAAAGTCTTTAGATTGCTTAAGAAGTGTGTTTACAGGTACACGTATCCGATCCGACGTGACGTCTGAACCCCACCTAAACGTTAAACTTTCGCCCCCCCCCCTTAGTTCAGTTATATGTAGTTACGTTAAGGTCCTAAGAGCCAACCAAAGAGAGAGCAAAGATGCTGTCGCCGACGACGGGAGTGCAGCCAAAGTCCTTGAAAATGGTCCCAGCGACCTCCTCGGTTTTCCCGTACAGCTCGTTTGTGTTGATGCTGCTCTGAATGTCTTGCGCTGAACCTGCAGGGGCCCCACTCAGTTGCGGCACCAATATCCACTCGACTCTCCTTGCACTCTCACCCTCCCAAAACACATCTACAAATAGCCCTTGCCTGCGTAGTCGCCGCAGCAGCTTCCCATGAACCTCAACTTCTGGGCTTCTCAGTCCCCTGCGAACTCACCCCAAAACAATCCTCGAAACAGCACGGACAATCCAATTAGATGCTCCTGCAAAACCCAGCAGCTGGAGATCACCCAACATCGGATTTCCTGCCTTGAGGCCGTCGACGTAATCCTTCCGATGCAGGCATACAACTCCCAAGACAAGCTTCTGGAACTCCACCCGCATGCCCCCAGACATATCCCAGTGGTCCTTCAAGCTCTGTTCCCCGAGCGCCTGGAAATAGAGCAAGCAGTGTGATCAGAAATCCAGTGACGGCATTCCCATCCAGCATTCGGCCTCCCCCATCGTGGTCAGAGACACGCGGGCATACGCGGAAGCATGAGCCACGAGTCCCAGACCCAGCACCTAAATCCGCAAGGATCGAGTGCGCCAGACTGGCAGAAGAGACCCCGTCGCTGACTAAGTGTAGGACACTCTTCAGCGACATGGCTGGCAGGACAGTAG